TAATACTGCTATTTCTGGGTCTCTAGCTTACAAGGTGAGAAAATGCATGATAATTACGTTGGAGTATTAGATAAGGGAAGTCCAAGAAAGAGTTCACAGTTCTGGTTTGAGATACCTCTTGCTTATTTCAAGTGTCTGTGTAAGTTCACTTTGGATGTGAAATTTCTCCTTTTTTTATGGATAAGGCCAGTGGCAGAAAAAATTCTTCATCTATTCGTAAATGTTGGGGCATTAAGACTGCATACGGGGGTTGTCTTTAGAGGAGGCTTGGCGTTTTTCTGGTTTTTGGTGGATGTTACCAACAGCCACTTTTATGCCTGCCTCTTAGATTATTCAGGACAAAACTCATTCCTTGCTTTTATTTACAGCTATTTAACTGAAAAGCTTCACTTATTTATTTTATTCTGTCCACTAATTTGAATTAGGTACCTAAAAGTTAAAATCTTCATTTTGTAGTATTGGTTTCTCACAACTCTTTCACTTAAGGTTTAAATTACAGTACATTGTTCTCTTGATGGGAGAAGAAACCTTCAGAAACCATGCAGGGATCAGGCTCTGTGACTGAATGACTCTTACTGTAATGTTGAAGTGAATTTATTTAAAAATGCTGAATGACTTGGCCTCTTGTATGGGCAGCTCTTAAGTCATTTAGTATAAAAAAGAAGAGTAAACTTAAGAAACATGCTGTTAAGGCAGATTGACTCCAAATATATGTAGTGCTTCCTAAAGCTCATGCTGAGCAAAGAAAATAAAATCTGTGCTGTAACTCTTGGTACTTAGCTCTGGAAATGTAAGTAGCATCACCACAAGATGAAAAGAAGAGGGGGGCGGGGAGGGGGAAGCATCTTGAAAGTAGATCTTGGAAAACTGGATCAAAATGGAGGTGGGTCTTATTAAGGTACCAGCTAGGCTATTTTCAAGCTTTATCACAGACAAGAGAGGAGGCTGCTGTATCCCTAATCACTATTAAAACAAGGTTCATGGAAAAGAATAGTGTAATAACTAATTGCTCATGGCAGGACTTGCAGGAATATGGCTCTGCTGTGTGATAATTATTGTATGGAGCAATCCAAGAGAGTGAAGTAGTTATCACTGCAGCAGAATAACTGAATCGGCAGGAATCCCTGCTGATCAGTATAACTGTTTTAAGAAGTGGCTTTCCTTTTTAAAATACTGATCCCTCAAAAAATCATTTTAATCAAGGTTTTTCAGCATAGAGATACTGAAACTGTTTCTGTACTACACTGAATTATTCAAATGTTAACATGGCAATTAACATGATCTAAGAAATTACAAGAGTGTATCGGTACTGGGATTGTGGAACACAGACATACATTCTGTAGAAGAAAGTTTTCCTACAAAGAAGACTGCTTGAAGTTTTGTATGTGCTAACAGTTTAGTAATTAACGCTGAGAACAGTGTAACTTCAGGCAGTGTAGGGGATATTGCTGACTGAGTTAAATTATGCATTTATAGTTGTATGAGTTTGTTTTGTTTTGGTAGAGGATGTGGGATGATTTTGCTTGCTAATTCCACACAGATATCTCTGAGAAAATTATGTGGCTGTGGCTAGGTAATTTAGAGATGGTTGAGAAATACTTGGCTTTATTACAGTCATGTAGGGCCAGAGAACTAAAAGCCTGTGAAAACAATAGGGGTTCAAACCTTAAAAGAGCATATGCAGACATGTAATAGTACAGTTGGTTAAAAAGTCATGTTGGAATTCAAAAGGATGTGCAGTGGTTTGAAGAGAAGGCAGTATTGCAGCAGATCTGAAGTACCTGGAATATGCTAACTGTATTTCGGGATTATTTTCAATTCTATTTCTTGGCAATGTAAGACCCCAAAATACGTACATTTTTGTGCATTACAATACTTCTGCTATTCACTTGATAAAATTGCAGTCTTATTCCTGGGCTTCAGAATATATTCATTTATAAAAACTGAATATGAAAGTTGAAGTAAATAGCGCCAAGTTAATACATTTCTTGAGCTGAGGTACAAAAAAGTGACAGGAAATCTTTTTGTCTGAACAGTTTGCTCAAAACCCCCTTTTTCTCTCTGGAAGTATTTAATTATAATAGTGCTGCATAGACACAGGTGAACACCACATGACATGGTTTTGAATGACGCTGGCATTCTTGTCGTATTTTACATATTTCCATGAAGACCAGAGGTACCGTTTCTGAACCATTTATCTTCAAGTCCGTGATTACTTCAGTGTGAGGTCACATCCATATTTTAACAAGGGAAGTAATTGGAGTTCAATGTGTTTGTTTGTTATTTCTCCCCAAATGTAATTCCTTCTCTTTCCATTCAGACTTTGTTATTTAAGGCCGCCTCATTAAGATGATTTCTTCCCCCACTGTACACATTGTTAAATTAGCACTTCATCTAAATTGCCAGCATTTGGTTGCTTTTTGCTTTTATATATGTAAATGTTTTAAATGAAATTACTCTTTTCTTTCAGTTTCATTTGGAAAAGCAATAACTTACATACAGTTTGAATAAATGAGGTTAAATGGTTCAAGAAAAGAAAGGTATTTAACATCTTAGATGCAAGTTTTTGTGTACACTACAGAGCCTCTGTTACTGTGACTAGAGTGAACTCCAGGGTCTTCTATAGAAGTTTGGGCATCTGTTGATAGAAAAAGACTTTCTGTTCTCGAGGTTAAGTCATCTCCCCAGATATCATTAAGATCTTCAGTGGTATTACAGCTGCATCTACATCAAACATAGAACCATAAAATGGTTTGGGTTGGAAGGGACCTTAAAGAACATCCAGTTCCAACCTCCCTGCCATGGGCAGGGACACCTTCCACTAGACCAGGTTGCTCCAAGCCTCATCCAGCCTGGCCTTGAACACTTCCAGGGATGGGGCATCCACAGCTTCTCTGGGCAACCTGTCCCAGTGCCTCACCACCCTCTCTGGGAAGAATTTCTTCCTGATAGCAAATCTAAATCTCCCCACTTTCAATTTAAACCTGTTACCCCTTGTCCTGTCACTACAAGCCCTTGTAAAAAGTCCCCCCCAGGTTCCTTGTAGCCCCTTCAGGTACTGGAAGGTGCTATAAGGTCTCCCCGGAGCCTTCTCTTCTCCAGGCTGAACCCCCCCAACTCTCTCAGCCTGTGCCCACGGAAGAGGTGCTTTTCTCCTTAAACATGTTAGCAGCCTGCCTATGTTTCATTCCTCTGGAGCATGCAAGGCAGGCTTCTGCATAAGCAGTGCTGTCTCTCAGGCTACCTGAGCATCAGCAGAGGTTGCCCAGTGCAAAGCTGGGCAGTAATCGGATGGTATTTGTAAAAATGATGTAAAGATCTTAATTCCACATATAATGATTCCTGTGAGCGTGTAACAGTCTGAATTGTGGTATTGTCTCAGGCCAATTTTGATGTGCCATCACTACTTTTGTAAGTTATTTATTAAGTTTTTTTTTTTTGTCTGTTTAAGAATAGCCTAATTAATTGTCTTGCTGAGGCACTTTCTAGTAGTGAAAATACTCCCCTACTGTTCCAGTATTAATGACCTGTTTAACAAGCTGTTTAGGTCTTAGTTGCATATAGACAGGAATATGTGCAGGCAGACTTAAATAATAATAAATTCATAGCAGAATTGTACTGTTTTTAAATGTGCTCAGTATTTTAGTTTCAAACTTCAAAACACATGGCTATGTTTTATGTTTTCAAATACTACAGTTGAGTGGAAAGAAAATTACGCTGTTTCATGGGGAGGCAGCAGTTTAATGCCTAGGTAGAAACTGAAATATTTGACGGTACAAAGCCTGTATTTTGCCTTGAGGCTGTTTACTTCCCTCCATTTAAAGCCTTGCCCGCTTAGCACTGCAGTCAATTGAAAAACTTGGATTAGCTCTGTAACCTTTGGATCTTTTCTGTATTACATGTGGAATTCATCATGTTAAGCTTGGCTGTGTTTTAGCAGTAAGAGAATAGAAAGAAAATTTACTGAAATAGTGTAGTAGTGAATAGACCTTACCTAATTTTAGTATACGTTAGGATGCATTTTGCACTGAACAGAAATACGGTTGTGGTATTAAATGTCAGAAAACATGCTCATGAAAAACGCTGATACATAATAATTTGCAGCAGTGTGATCGCTGCATGATTCAGAAATTGAAGTGCACAACTGTAACTCTAAAGCTAATAAGTGATATTAAATGTCGTTACCTATTTTTTACGGGCTGTGTTATTATATTGTGTGACTTCCTGCCTCCGAGGTAGCTTGCTAGAAAACAGTTTTGGAAGTGTACGTAATTGGATACGGGTAGGATGGTCACCTCAGTGACCGTCCAGTGTTCAGTAGAAGATCAGAACTCTGGGTGTGCCTCTGGGACAGCGGGCTTTGAGGCAATGCTGACATTTTCATTCAACTTCTGTATTCTGATATTAGAGGAATGTCTTGTATGTATTTATTTTGCAAATTACTTATTCTTGGTTTATCATTGCATTTCATAAATGATTCTCATATTCTGCTCAAGGGTGAGGCGTGCATGAAATGATTCAATACAGTTTCTAAGTCATTCCTGTCCACCCTGTGGGTGGTAGAGCGAAATGTTAAAATTCTGTGGTAGAGTCAATTTGTGTTGGAGTAGAAAGAAGCTGATTTTGAAGTGGAAGAGAAATTAGGTGATTTTGTTTGGTTGGCTTTTTTTAACTTTGTAAGCAAAGCTTGTTGGACATAGCTATTGAGAATACGAATAGCGTGTGTCTGATGCCATATTGTTTTAGCTAGTATAGAATTCACACTTAAAGGAAATCACTGGGGGCTTTAAATATATTTTTTACTGGGTTTATATACGTTTATCTACTACTTAAACATATTTGATATAATTTTTATATAATGCAGCAAAAATGTCTGTGTACTGTTTCAGATAAGCTATGAAATCTGGTAGATACTAGTAGATAATCATGGAGAGTATTTAGATTGGGGGGTGTCACTTGTAAAGAACAATTTAGTGAGATGTTTTCCTTTGTCTCTGTAGTTATCAGAGACTGTTACAGACTATTGCTGTACTCGAGGCTCAACGTACTCAAGCAGTTCAAGACCTTGAAAGTTTAGGCAGACACCAGAGAGAAGCACTGAAAGATCCTATTGGATTTGTGGAAAGACTCCAGAAGAAGGTATTTCAGTGGGTTTTTCTTAAGTCTTACTCAGATTTTTTTTTTAATAGCTAGTAATTCACTGCCTATAGAAATCAGAGAATTGTGTATATACTTGCGTAAACGTGAGTTTAAAATCTTTTCTCTGCTGAGCAAAAATGGCCCTTTGCTTATTAAAACTGTAAGACATAGGTCCTCGGTGATTTTATTGAATATGCTTTCTTTCCTTTTTTTTTTGGTATGTAGAAATGTAATCTCTAAATTCCTAATTGTAATTTAGGTATTTTAAGACGATCTGGAATCTGTAGCTGACTGAAAGTACTTCATAGTAAAGCATCAGATCAAGAATTCATAACTTTTCTCATTAGAGAAATTAAGTGTTGTGCTATGAGCAGATTTGGAAGGGTACTTTTTAAAGCGCAGGAAATGTAGTTCATAGCCTAAAACCAAAATGAATGCTAGAAAACATATATGAGTTCTGGATGACATAGCAGAATATTGTCTGATGGAGGAGAATTAATTTTGATAAGGTAACATTTTTTGCTCAAGCTTTAAATAAAAATGTTGTAACAGTGATACTGAAAAAGTGCTTAAAGCTCAAATACTTTCTTGTTGCCACATCTACCAGTGACAAACATGTTTGACCTTCTAGTCTGGTAGCAACAAGTTGTATTCCAGTGAAGAATGAAGCAGGTATTTTATGGTACTCTTCCTAGGTTTGTAGAGACCTAGGTTTATAGAGAGGTCTGATGTAAGCCCATTGGTTTCCATGGTTGTCTTTCCATTAAATTCCGAGAAGAGTTAATAGCATGCATGATGTGTGTTGCATTTTATAATCATTGTATGGGGAAATACTGCTGCTAATTGAATGGATCTGTTGTATTTTTGTCTCTGAACCAAAGGAATTATACTCTTAAGGTTGACCTTTAAATAAAATGGTGAGCTTTGCAACAGCTGTGTTCTAGGCAGAAGACAGAAAATCAGTGCAGAATATCCACTGATTTCTTTGAGAGGAGTTTAGGTTTACCACATGAGAAATCTCCAAGTCCTATAGTTTTCTCTGTTGAGAGAACTACAGATCCTTGGCAAAACAGTATGTTTAAACAAAATGAAAGACAGATAGACAGTGACAGGATAATGAAGTCAGAAACACCTGGTTTCAGCTGTGAAATGCATGCGTTAGAGTTTTATGCTCAGTAAGCCATCATTGACCATGCCACTGCATATTTTATATGCACTGTTGTGTATTATTCTTCAAAGATATCTTCTCCATAAAAGGTCTGTGTGTTGCATGGCACGTTAACAATTCTGATTTTGAGTTCTGCTGTTGCCTAAAAAGCCATCAGGTTTTCATAACTTTTCAGGATGCATAGTTTTTTGTTTGGATATACAGCAATTACATTAAATATTGCTTTTAATTTCTTTTTTTTTTTTCCAGGTTGATATGGGTCTTCCATATCCTCAGAGAGTAGTTCAGCTCCCTGAGATTGCCTGGGACCAATACACCACTAGCCTTGGAAACTTTGAGAGAGAATTCAAAAACCGGAAACGTAACAGTAGGAGAGTGAAGCTGATTTTTGACAAAGGTAAAAGGAAAGTGGACATATGTTAGAAGAAAAAAATGACCATTGTGGAAGTTTAATTCCTTTCTTACGTTGCTTACAGTAGGTATACCCGCAAGACCAAAAAGTCCTTTAGATCCCAAGAAGGATGGAGAGTCAGTTTCATACTCTGTCTTGCCTTTAAGTGATGGTCCAGAAGGTTCTACAAACAGTCGTCCACAGGTAGTTGTTAAAAAGGAAAGATAAAATTTTATAATTTTACTTTGGAATTTTTTTCTCTTTTTCTTTTCTAATATGGGTATGTGAGTAATCTTAACTGTTACTTGAAATGTTAAGGATGGTGATGACATCTTGCTCCTGTACTCAAATCAGATAACTCACTTTTGTTTAAGCAAGTTTTATTTCAAATTTTCATGTATTTATTTGGCCTGGGTTTGGCTTTACTTAGGTAGGGGAAGGGTTAAAATCAAGTTGCATAACTGTACTTTTTCTAAACACTTACTCCATTTTATGTACTGTATTTGAGCAGATGATAAGAGGACGACTTTGTGATGAGACCAAACCTGAAACTTTTAACCAGCTGTGGACTGTAGAGGAACAGGTAATGAGAAACTTTTTTGTAGCTGTGGTAACATACATGAGAATAAAAGCGAATTGTATAATAATGTTTAAAGCACTTAGATGTTCAGAGTCACATGTGTGTAGATACTTATCTTTTGACAGCCCATACCTCTGCTAGGAAAGATGTATTTATTGGTTTTTCCCCTGTTGATTTAGAAAAAACTTGAGCAATTGCTTTTGAAGTATCCACCAGAGGAAGTAGAGTCGCGACGGTGGCAGAAGATAGCTGATGAACTGGGAAATAGAACAGCAAAGCAGGTAACAAGTAAAACACTTGGAGAAGTAATCCCTTTCCTTGATGTTTTTGGGGTTTTTTTGTTTGGGTTTGTTTGGGGGTTTTTTGGAAGCTTTTTAGGAAGCACTGATGAAGAGAAACCTGGATACAGTCTCTTAAGTGATAGAGGGTTTTCTCTCAAAAAAAACCCCTCAGTTAATAAACTGAGGAATTAAACAATAGGGTATAGTTTTTATAATGTTTGCAATTAAAGCAATAAAATTTCTTTTCCTAGAAAAACATATTTGAGTGCTTGGGATTGTTTGAGTGCTTGTGCTGTGGTAGTAGTGATCGCAGTCGCTACACTTTCACAGAATATTTTGTTGTAAATGTGTCTTTTTTTTTTTTTTAATAGCAATAAATAAAATCCAGTATCTTTCCAGTAATGGCTTTTTCTTAAAAATGTAACAGCAGGGCCTGCATTTCACTCATACCAGGGCAACTCTTTATTCTCGATCTCAAATACAGAATTTTAAAAGTACCCCAACGCCTGTGACAAAGCTCCTAGACCTAGTTGTTCACTAGATTTAACTCTATACAGCGAGTACAGGGCTACCAACTGTTCTCAGACTGAGTGACGTTGGAGTGCTAAATTTCCTGCACCTCAGTACTGGAGAATGGGCAGACATTTTAAAACTCACAGGCAAAAGAATTGGTTCTGTACTGGGCTGAGATCCACAGAAGAATACAGATGTGGAGTCACAGTGTGTTTCTGCATCTGACTTGTTGGGATTTTCCCCTAAAATGACATAATTTCTCCATTTTGACTAGAAGTGAAAAATGCTGATGTTCTGTGTTCACAGTTGTTTTAATTTGACCTACTTCAGTTACATGCTTTCAGGTAAAAGAATACTTAAGTATTTCAGTATTTCATTTCCTCATCTCTGATCATATCCGTATTTATAGGTATATTTCTCTGTACCTCAAAAAAATTAAAACGTGCTCATTTCAGAAATAAAATGTAGAAGTACTTTCTGTGTGCTAACTACACATAATTTATGTTGTTGTTAAGAAAGAATTAGCTTAGCTTCAGAAGGTAACAAACTACTGATACTCTTTCCTTTCTGTCACATTTTTTGCTTTATTTCCTGTGTACTTTTAACCAAGGGTATTTTTTTTTTGTCTCTGAAAGCCTGCCAAGTGTTTGTATATATTACAAATGCAGCACTGCAGGATAGGTGATGGTTAGAGTAATTGTTGCAAAGTCAAAAATGGGGTTTTCTTGTCCTTGTAGCAATGCTGGCAAAACTTCGAATTGAAGGCCTGTTACATTTCATTTGACATCTAATTGTCACATGCTGTTTTTTATAGGTTGCCAGTAGAGTGCAAAAATATTTTATTAAACTGACTAAAGCTGGTATTCCAGTTCCAGGAAGAACTCCAAACTTATATTTATACTCCAAAAAGGTGAGTCAATAGTACAGCAGAAATGTCTTACTTCTGTTTGCATTTATGTGCAAATTGAGTCTAAACCATTCACATTTTCAATATATTTAAGTCTTGAGTAGTGCTTTCTTGCTAACTAGTTCCAACGTGCATGTATTTCTTACTTAATAAAGTAATCATTTTCTTTTGCCAGTAGCTCTGTAGAATGATTTGTGTGTTACTCTAGTTTCACATCAGCATCTGTTAGCTACCTGTCTGTCGGATAATCTCGGGGACGTGAGGTGTCAGAAAAGAGAACACAGCAGTCAGATTGCAGGCTGAAGTAACAGGGTAGAATGATTGGTCTTGGCATCCTTTTTCCTTAGTCGTAAGTTTAATGTAATTGGTCTAGAAAAGCATAATGAGAACCCTGTTGGAAGAGGATAAGGAGCCCTGTAATTCATATTGACATCTAATTAACAAAACCAAAGAAATTATATATAACTGAGCATACTGAACTAGCACAAGTATAGGCTTAAGACTGAAATGTTATTTTGATTTGCAACATACATGACACTTAAAATAGAATGGTCATATAAATAACCATAAAATACGGTGGTTTTCCTCATCCTGGAATCAAAGAGAAAAGAATATGGTCCTGAGAAATCTTCTTAATTTGCAAAAGAAAAGACTCCAGATTTCTGTGTATACTAGTGATATATTTTGATTGAAATAATGTACTGCTCTTGGATACTAATGAGGTCCCTAGACATTTCAAGAGGGCCGTCTCAGCTTGCAGGAGGTGTTGTTTGGGTTTTTTTTGTTACGATTGTGTTTACATAAGTTCTTCAAAACCTGTTACAATGGCATTTTGTAGAGTAACATTAGTTTTTTGCATCCAGCTGTCTGTAATGTTTATTGATTAAGAACAGAATAAGCCTTACATTGATTCTGAAAAAAAGGCAAATTTGCAGATTTAGTCCCTTGAAAGGTTGGAAACAAATGTTACAGCCAGAGGGGCCTGACAGAAAGATTGACCACTTCTCATCTCTAATGATTTAAAATGTTACACACCCCAGTTGTCTCCTGGTATTCTCTGAAGTTACTGCAAACAATGAGTGCTCATATCTGAGGCTTTCCAGTTTGCCATCCATCATGGTAATGCCATTTGACTTTCACCAGGATTTTAATCTACTATTCTGCTCTATAAGAAGAGGTAGGGAAGGTGCAGGCATGACTCTGTCTGGCGCCTTGTCTGTTGGAAGTGGGCTTTCTGGCAGAAGAACCAAAAACACAGCTGGAAACATTGATACCTTAAATACTGTGGTGAGATTCATCTGTTAGAACTCTAAATTACTTGTACAGTTTACTCTACAGTGGGGCTGATTTCCAAAGGGGTTGAAAATTTAGTTTTGAAAATCATAATCCTTTGGGTTCTTTATGTGACCATACTGTCCTAAATGACCTTAGCCACATGTCTTCTTTCCTCTTAGTGTGATTTGGAAAGGCTGTCACTGCAGAATGTGAGCATTGCTGCCAGGCAGCAGATCACTGTATTTGGTAAATAGTGGGAATATTTATTCAGTACATGTATGACTTCTTAACCATATTTTTCACTAATTTGAACAGTGATCCGTGAAGTTCTTTAACCCCACTGATGCGCATACAAGCACGGCATAACCAAGAGTGAAACATACTTTTGATAAAATGCCTGATGTTCTCAAACTACAGTGGTCATGCTACCATCCCACAGATTTTTCTTAAGCGTATATGTGGAATAAGTCTTACTTACGTCTGTTTTTACCGTATGATTCATATCCTTATTACTAGGTCATAAGAGTAAGGTCACTGTGCCCTGGTTTGTATTAAGGCAGCGTCTCCATTTGACATTTGTATCGCGCGTAAGAAACAGCAGATGAAAAGATCCAACAAACAGCGTATGTGGGGGAATTGAGCTCTCAGACTGATAATATAGCTGTCTGCTTAGAGCACAGATTGACAGCACTGTACCGGGCTGTAGTTATTCCCAGGTCTCCAATGGAGATAATACAATGTGGCAGCAAGGAAATGCACAGGGTATTGGAAGCCTGGGTCGTGCTTATGCTGTGCTTGCCTTTACTTTGATATTGAGTTTGCACATACGCCGTAAACTGCAGTATCTGCTTTATTGCCAATAATAAGGTATGAAAATTGGATGCTGATGTTTCAAGCACATATCTATGGGAGAATAAAAGCCATAGATCTATTTAATGTAAATAATTGGGTCAAAAGGGATGCTTCACAAGGAGGTACTTGCACTTCTCCACAGGGATTGCTCAGGATGCTTTTTTAAAATAGCTGCTGAGGAGGTGAGAAGCCCATCCAGTTCTTGAACGTCTTGCTGAAGTTACTGTGTCTTCTTCATATGGCATAATGTCTCTTCAGATAATTGATACAGGAAATTAAGCAGGGTGCATCAGTATATTTTCCTGTATAACCATCATCTGCTACTGCTGAAAATAAAATCAGAGATTTAGGACTCTAGTATTCAGTTCTTCAATTATGGCTTATCATTTTCAGTGTAATCCTTATATAATATCATTAGTGCACCTGCTTTTAAGCTTAATCCAGAAGATACATTTCCCACAGGAAAAACTATTTTGTAACTGTCTGCTTTTATGGAGTATTTTAGTTCATTCTTCACCAGAAGCAGGATCATGTTGAAAAGAAAATTCAAATCCTCAGTTAAATTCCTAGGTCATAGCTGTATGTGTAACAGTGCTGCTGTCTAAGCATAGAGAGTTTTCCTTTCTTGATTTCCGGATCTAATATTGAATGCAGATCTGTTTTCTGTTAACAGAAAATTGAAATCACTGACAGCTCAAGCTGAAATAACCTTATAAATGGAACCATTGGGGGGCGGGGTGGCAGTTGAAATCTTAAAGGAAAGCACAAAAGCAGCAAAACACAGGAAGTCGGTGATTGTAAGGCAGAAGGTGGAAAAATTCAACATAATGGATAGTACGTTAATGGTAGAACAAAATGTTCAGTTCTGGTCTGTGCACTGTAGTTCTGCAGATCTGAGGTACCAGCTTCCACTCGTTACTACAGACTTCATCTCCTCTCTGAAGAGGGGATAGGGCTAGTCACAATTCCGTGTACTACTGTCTGCACAGCTACATTCCATCTAAGTTAATTTCTGTGATCTTATCTTTAGAGAGAAATGGTTGTATTAGAGTATTACAGCTTTGTAACTGACTTAGGGACCTTTGGGCTAAAAAGTTGTACCTAAAAAGAGGAAGTATTAGCTATTGTAAATATTCCTTACTGCTTTATCTGTGTGACAGAAGCTGGACGCAGTGTAAGACGACCCTCTCTGTGATGGTTATTACAAAAAGCACTTTTTGTACTTCTGGATTTTGATTCACGCTGTTTTCTTTAAATTGAGGAATGTAAGATTTGACATTTAAGATGTCAAAATGCTGGTCTAGAAAGTAGCTAAGTAAAAAGTTGAGTCAGTTTCATTCACCCTAAATTCTTCTTTTTTGATATTTAATATTCTTCCATGGGGAATAACTAATAGGGGCTGAGTGCCTTTAAGTAATCTATTTTAAAGCTGCCATGCATTCTACGCCTTCAGACAGCATTAAAGTTGAAAGGTTTTAGATATACACTAATGGAGTAATTTATCTTATCTAACATTTTTTAGGTGCCTTTTGCTGTCAGTCCAATGAAAAAGAACCTTCAGTGAGCAATTCTTTCTAACTCTCAGAAACCTCTTTTATGGTGGAATGAATTGCCTTTTCTTTCCCTGGACTAGGAATCAGTACAATTAACTTAGGCTTGTATTAATTTGTGCCTTAGAAAATCTAAGTTGATGAGAAGTGTCAAGCATGGACAGGTCTCTTGGATCTTGGACCTGCGCAAAACTACTTCTTTGTTTAGTTTTGCACTCGCACCATTCACGACTCTTGGAAGTCTTTTAACACCTTTGCACTTTGATTCTCATTCTTCAAAATTGTAACAGCTTTATTTTCTGTTTTTCTGTTGTTACCCATCTCATTTCATTGGAGGGTTGGGTTTTTTGGTAATTGCTCTGTCTTACTGGGTTCTTACCAAAGTGTTGTGCTGTTCATCTGATTTCACTTGTTACGGGGGAGAAAAACTCCAGCTTTGTGAGGCTCTGATAAGAGGGGTTCAACTAATTGGAAAGATGATGGACTGTTTAGTGCAAAAGAGCAAATTTCTGGCAAGGTTTTATCGATGAGGATTACTTAAATAATAACAAAGGAATGTTTTTAAAAATGTATCATTTTTTCACTGTAGTCATCAAGTAGACGGCAACATCCTTTAAATAAACATCTTTTCAAACCTTCAACTTTCATGACATCTCATGAACCTCCAGTTTATATGGATGAAGATGATGACAGATCCAGTTTTCACAGCCATATGGATACTGCAGCAGAAGAGGAAGTATCGGTATGTCATTTTTATCAGTCAGAGAACGTCTTGCTCACTGTTATTTTAACTTTGTTGAATGAATAATATGAGGATTAAGCATCTTTGCCATGAAATAAATATGGGTTCCTCAGGGGTCGGTATTGGGACTGGTACTGTTTAACATCTTTGTCAGCAACATGGACAGTGGGATTGAGTGCACCCTCAGCAAGTTTGCCGCTGGCACCCAGCTGTGTGGTGTTGTTGACACACTGGAGGGAAGGGATGCCGTCCAGAGGGACCTGGACAGGCTGGAGAGATGGGCCTGTGCCAACCTCATGAGATTCAGCAAGGCCAAGTGCAAGGTCCTGCAACGGGGTCGGGGCAATCCCAAGCACAAGCTGGGCAGAGAATGGGTCAAGAGCAGCCCTGAGGAGAAGGACTTGGGGTACTGATGGATGAAAAGCTGGACATGAGCCGGCAGTGTGCGCTGGCAGCCCAGAAAGCCAACCGTATCCTGGGCTGTATCCAGAGAAGTGTGGCCAGCAGGTGGAGGGAGGGGATTCTGCCCCTGTACTCTGTTCTTGTGAGACCCCACCTGGAGTGCTGTGTCTGGCTCCAGTGCCCTTAAAATAAGCAGGACGTGGATCTGTTTGAGTGAGTCCAGATCCAGAGGAGGCCATGAAGATGCTCAGAGGGCTGGAGCCCCATTGCCATGGGGACAGGCTGAGTTGGGCTTCTTCAGCCTGGAGAAAAGGTGGCTCCGGGAGACCTTATTGCAGCCTTCACATACCTGAAGGGGCCGATGGGGTAATGGGTTTAAACTGAAAGAAGGCAAGTTTAGATGTGGTATCAGGAAGAAATTCTTCCCGGAGAGGGTGGTGAGGCAGTGGGACAGGTTGCCCAGAGAAGCTGTGGATGCCCCGTCCCTGGAAGTGTTCAAGGCCAGGCTGGATGAGGCTTGGAGCAACCTGGTCTAGTGCAAGGTGTCCCTGCCCATGGCAGGGGGGTTGGAACTGGATGGTCTTTCAGGTCCTTTCCAACCCAGACCATTGCGTGAAGTTCTTGTAGACATCCTAACCCAATGTATTACTACGTTTGGGATGCCGGGCAAGATTCACAGCTGGTGAATCACCGTGCCTTTGCTGTGCTTAGACTGAGGAACCTGACTTGCACTTTTGTTTTGTTTTGTTTTCTTGTGTGAGCCTGCTGACATCTTTTGTGTGAAAAGCATGTTGCATAACAGAAGTATTAAGGCCACCCACTATGAAACCATTCAATTTCTTTATTGACTTTTTTACATGCACTGAATAATTTTTGTTACATAATTAAATTTGCTCATCTATTACTCAGTCTTAAATCCTGTCTTTACTGTTTTTCTGTAGTCTCTCTCTGATGATCTTTTGGTTCATCTACAGACATTCGTGATACCTTTGCATATTCCAATAAGAACCTTAAAATGCCAGGAAATAAAAATGCATATTAGAAGAGATGCAGGCTGCTAATATTTATTTCAATGGAACAGGTTTTGAACAAACATTCATTCTGTGTTGGTTTTAAATACATACTTTGTAACTATTCAGAATATTTTCCTAAAACATTTTGGTTTTATTCTGGTGTCTTAACTAATAAATATAGGCACCATAAATTAACTGGGATTTGTTTTAATTCGGGGTAGAAGTTCCTGGTTTACTTTTTTGAAGTGATAATGGTGAATTTGTGCCTTGGCCACCCATTTTTCATGTTGGTTTTGGGGTTTTTTCCATGTGGTATGTTGATTTTTTGATGTTGGTGGTTTGGGGTTGTTGTGGGTTTTTCTGTGCAGTGTAGAAAGACATAGGTTTGCTCAGTTACCAAAAAGATCCCCATTATCAGTGCAAAGTAGAAGCCATTTGGAAGAAAAAGAAGAGAGTGTGAACTATATTAAAAAGAACGTAGAGGGTTGTGTTCTGATGTTAACAGTCAGGTCTCTTGGTGACAATCACTGTCCTGGAGAATCAATGATGTCATCACCATGGTGGAGAAAGATCCAGTGTAGCAAGAAAATTATAGGAAAGGTTTTCTTTGTTTTTTGACAGTCTTAGTGCCAGGTGCTCCTCCCCAGTAAAGACACATGGTTTTGCCTGGATATTACCAGTCAGTTTGACTGGAACAACCGTTCCTGAAAAATGGGTTTAGTGTAAATGAGTTATTCCCAAGTGAAGACCCTCTGTTCCTAACAGAGTGAATTTACTTTTCAGTTAAGATTCCTTCATTTTGTGAGTGATCTAATTATTCTGGAATACAACTACTTACTATTCCGGAATGAAGTGTCCACACAGGGAGCTCTTACAGTGTAGTTTATTCAATGCACAGTGATTTTGTGCCAGGCACTTTTTCTCAGAAAAACATTGGAGGTTTTGCATGGAAGGTTTCATAATAAGAGAATGTAGCTTATCACCACACAAGTGATGTCATTTAACCTTGATTTTTCTGAACATTTACAGTCCAGTCCCTTACACAGCTTCCTAATTACAGTTAAATAATTTATAAGGCCTTTAAGAATTTAACTTCTTTCCCTCACTTCCTTTAATAAACTTACTAAATAACATAGATTCATTAACCTTCACAGATTTGTAAAAAGAAATTGAAATTATGTGTGTAGCCTACATTAGAAGAATTTTTGTTACTGTCCTGTAGTTGTTTTCCATAGCTGAATGTTCCTGTTGGTGTAGGATCTGAAAACTGCTCACATCAATAAAGATTTGTCATCTTTGAAACCAGCTGACATCTGCCAAGTACTGCTGTAATTAAATAGCCATCCTGAAATGGGCATCGGAATTGGAATGAGTGCTCCTGTCTTCTCATAAAATAGAGGGCCTCAACCTCTGTTGAAGAAAATTGTATGAGGGGAAAGAAAAAAAACAAAACAGAAATGGTGTGTTTCTTTAAAAAGAGAGCACCACTTGTTATAAATCTCTGGCAAAGTTGTGTGCACCCACCTGTAGGGAGGCAAACTTTTATAATTTAGGAAAAATAGCAATCTATTTTCTTAAGCTGCTAAGAGATGGCCTGAAGTGAAGGGATGATGGAGCTTGGTAGCTCTGAAACTTCTACTCTTGCAGTCATGGAATGATGCTTCTCACCACTTTTTGTTCTTAGGAGGTAAGGGCGAGAAGTTAATACTTGTAAGATTGACTGTCTTCAAATAAAAAATACATATAATGGAAGATTGGTTTTATCTTGATTTATGAGTCTTTAAAATTCTGAGATTGTGCAACAATTCTTAAACTGTATATTGGGTTTCCTTTGGTTTTAATATTTTCACAGCTTTTAAAGTACTTCAGAACAGTGATTGCAACTCTTCTTACTACAGTATTATTCCATACCATTTCACAGGATAGTAAAGAGAAAGATCAATGAACTTGATCAAACTGACCTGACATTTCAGTTCTCAAGTATAATTACTGTTACCATGTATTTAAAATAAACGAGGTTTGCCTCAAACCAAAGCTAAGTCTTCTACTGCAGCTGCCATTTTGCCCACAATGTATGGACCAGTGGATTTTGGGAATTGTAGTTAGGCATTAAAATGAGAGAAAACGCTAGACAATAAAGTTGGGCACTGCTCTCTCCCTTATACTGTGGCTAAGCTCTTCACCAGAGGAAACTTGTTTGTGTAGGATAATGATATTTTTGTTTTAATGCAAAAAATAAAATTTAAATAATACAAAATAAAATGCATTTATGGAATACATGTCCTACTAGTTGTTATATTCCTGTAGTAAAGAATGTTTCTCATTTGTTTTTAACCATGAACAGGATGAAGAGAGTATTCCAATAACATATCGAGAATTACCCGAATACAAAGAATTGTTAGAGTTTAAAAAATTGAAGAAACAGAAACTCCAGCAGATGCATGCAGAAAGTGGGTTTGTGCAGCATGTGGGATTCAAGGTGAGTTTAAGAGATGATTGTCTGTTACTCAGTGGATTGTAGAAGTTTTCAAAGATAACTTGGTTCAGATTTCCTAAAAAGGCTTTGTTTAATATAGCAAGTTTGGTTCCTTAGTTTTTGTTCACTGTGTCTGCTTCCTCTCATCTTCTTTAATATAAATTATATTTACTTATTTAATATAAACCCCCCAAGTAATTCACTCTTTCTGACAGCTCAGGTTTCACAGGATACTGTGAAGATTAATAAGCATATACTGTCTTTTCCTCATTTGTGTTAAGAAAACACAGCTCTGAAGCCAGGTTAAATTGTTACAGGATTGCATGTGACACTACACTCTGTTTTGATAAAGATTCATTGATGATAAATCTCTGATTATTAATTTTGAGGAATTTTGCCTTCACCTGAGGCCAAAGAAGGGACGTAGATTTTTAATGAGAACAGTAATAGATGAATAGGGGGTTTTTTGTTGTTTTTAGCAACTTCCTAATTCTATCAAGTAAGAACTCACAGGAGTTGAAGCAAGGACATGAAACAAGAGTTATGTGAAATTAAGAAAATAAGCATTAACTTAAACTAGTGTTGTCCCAGTATCAACCATTACTGGGCGACACGAGAGAAAGGCCATTCTCTAAATCGGATTTTCTGGTTTGCAAAGGATTTTCTGTGTAAGTGGCTGCTATGTTGGAACAGTTTCTTCACCTTTTTTAGTGTTATGCAGCTAGATTTATTTTCTAATACCCATTTATATAAGATTGCAAAGATACTCAATTTAAAGTTCAGTTCAAAGTGATGGGAAAGTTAAGATAGCCTCGTTAGTTGACGCTGACAGACTTATACATGGTGTTAGACTACAAAGGAGATTTTTTGTTCTTTTTTTTTTGTTGTTTGTTTTGTTTGACTTAGTATGGTCTGTTTGGTATGAGTTTTGTTTGGTTTTGTTTTAAAGTTAGCATTTTCTTCCCCAAAATTCAAACCTTTGATCAGGCAGAGCAGACTTGTAGGTAACAAACTGGTTGCTTTTTCTACGTAAAAAGACTCTGAAAAGTAAATTGGCATTATGCAGTGTCAAGCATTCAAAGTTTGAAAGTTTCTTTGCAGTCTGAATTTGATTTTATTATGCATTACAGTAAGCTCTGAAATTACATGATTATATACTGTTCTCCCTGAGGAGCGCTGCCTGGCTCCGTGCATGGGCTGGACGGAGCTCACCTAATAAGTAATCCTTCAGAACACTTTCGGTTCTGCATGGCCTTCAGCCTCATTTACTACACATTATTCAAAATGTACTTTGAATATAGAATTACTGAATCCCTTGTGGGCTCTTTATGGCTTTCATTGGTATAACATCAGACCACTTTGCAAATACTTCTTTTTTTTCATAGGAAATGAAAGGCATGGCATTATTTCTGTTTCACAGGGGAAGGAGGGGGAAGCTGGAGCACAGAAATTAAGGTCAAGGGTTTCCACTATCTTGGTTCTCAAATTGAAATAACTGGAACCAATTTTTATTTTCTACTTTTTTTGAAGTATTTAGCATTTTACTGAACCAGATATTCTCAGAGAAGAGCCTTGAGTATGCTCATTATCAGCCCTCAAACTCTGAAAGCCATCTGTGGAAGGAAGGGCTGCAGCTGTGACAAAACTGCAGAGTGTAAGGTGTTTGTAACTCCGGGTGGATTAGCTGTGGCTGGGAACAAGCTGCTCTGGTGGGTTTCACAGATGCCACGGGAGAGCTTCAGGTTCTGAAGGAGGATGAGCTATGGGAGCACAGGCTTGTTTCCCACGTTTCTTTCTCCTTTTCAATCCTGTCTCTGCAGCACTCTTCAAAGTTTAGATTTTTGAAACATTCTCCTTGCCTCCAAATCCCATTTTCCAGGTTTCCCTACCCCTCTTCTCTACCCTCATCATTATTTCATCCAGGCTCGATGTTTCATTTGTACTTGGTTTCCTCCTCTTTTTGCCACGCTCTTCTTGCGCTTGGATGCCATTGTGGGGTACCTGAGGTTTCTCAGGCGATTAGTTCTTGCTAATTGCCTAGCAGTTGTTCTGATTGTCTTCTTGCTCAGCTTTAGTTGTAGACTTCTGTTCCCTTCCCTGATCCTGTTGTCCCCCTTCCTTCCCAGCCAGCTGGCTTTTAGTTCTAGCCCACCTGTAATGGGGTGGTTTATCATCATAGAATCACAGAATGGGTTGGGTTGGAAGGGACCTTAAAGACCATCCAGTTCCAACCCCCCTGCCATGGGCAGGGACACCTTCCACTAGACCAGGTTGCTCCAAGCCTCATCCAGCCTGGCCTTGAACACTTCCAGGGATGGGGCATCCACAGCTTCTCTGGGCAACCTGTTCCAGTGCCTCCCCACCCTCTCTGGGAAGAATTTCTTCCTGATCTCTAATCTAAATCTCCCCCCTTTCACTTTAAACTCATTACCCCTTGTCCTGTCACTACAGGCTCTTGTAAAAAGAATTCCCCCCCAGCTTCCTTGTAGCCCCTTCAGGTACTGGAAGGTGCTAAAAGGTCTCCCCGGAGCCTTCTCTTCTCCAGGCTGAACAAGCCCAACTCTCTCAGCCTGTCCCCATGGCAGAGGGGCTCCAGCCCTTGGAGCATCTTTGTGGCCTCCTCTGGACTCGCTCCCGAGTCTGAAAGGGCATCGGTGTGGCCTGTCATGTCCTGGTCTGCAGCCCATCAGCAGCCTCCCAGGGGGCTCTCCTGGTCTGGTCTCGCTGCTTGCTTCGGCCGTGGAAGGTGCATCTGCGCGCGGGCGTTTCGCACAGACGTCGGCTGTAGAAACCTCGCGTGTGCCTGTTGCGCCACAGCAGTTCCCGCAGCCGCGCGGGGGTCAGCAGCGACTGCAGGCAGGAGTAGGGTGCTTATGCAGGAGAGCAGTGTCAGCGTGGAGCGTTCGGGGAGCGGAAGCAAAGCAAGGGAAAGATTGATCAATCCTCAGGGCTGGGGAGGGCCTCCCCTTTGTCCACGAAGACGCTGTGGTCTGTGATGAGAAGGTTCAGCTGTGCGGGCTGGTAGTGATCGGCCTACGTCCGTGCCTTCCTGCACGGTGTGTCGGTGCCTACTGCTGCTGACATAAGTGATGACAGTTGCTGCTTTTTCCACGCTC